ATACCTGATGTTCCAGGACAAAGTTTCTATTTCTGCTTCTCTTAACTTGACAAGCTTTCTACCATTTCTGAGATTTCACACTTGCAGTTTCTTCTTATTCTTTGTCCAGATTTTCACTCAGCTGTCTCCTTTTTATTATTTATATTTTACTCAACTGGCCCAGTATCAAGGGTGAGTGGAGGTGAATACCTCCCTCATTTCCATCACCACTCTCCTGTTATGATATCAGCTAACATTTCTTATTCAGAGACCCTTGTTTGTCTGTTTATTATTTGTTTTATTATTTCTTATTTTATTAAATATGTATTTTGTCTCTGTTCAGTGGGGTTGAAGATCTAATCCTGGCGTCTAAAGAGTGTGTAGCCCATAGAAGATGTTAAATAAATATCTATTAACAACAAATTCAACATGTAATTGTGATGTGCAGCTAGGTTGGAGAATTGCTATTTAAACTACCCCATTTCAAACAGGAATTACTGATTAACAAACATGCTAATGCTTAGCATTTGAACTGTCATACTTTCACAAAAAAGATAACTGAGTAGGAAAAGCTGTTATTCACTTTAGCACATTTAATTACCATATTATTCTGCACAAAATACGTTTTTTCCCCATAAGAAGCTAAGTTCTTCTGACCCTGAGGCTACAGCTAAGGCATCAGCGTTTTTTTTGTTGTTTTTTTTATCCTCACCCGAGGACATTTTTCCATTTTTTGTTCAGGTAGAGTGGGAGGGAGAGAGAGGAACAGAGAGAGAGAGAGAAACATCGATGTGAAAGGAACACATCGAGTGGCTGCCACCCGCACAACCGACCAGGGCCGGGGACAAACTGCAACCAAGGTACGTGCCCTTAGCGGGAACCGAACCCGGGTCTCTCAGGACCGCAGGCCGACGCTCTAACTGCTGAACCAAACCGGCCAGGGCAAGGCATCAGCATTTACCTGGAGGCTCAAAACTCCCAGGTGGCCTCAGGCCTCGTGTCCCCCTAGCTAGAGTCTAGGAGGAGTCAGAGGTGCTATGGGAACTGAGAGCGAGCTAAGGGCGTTTCATCTGGATTTCAAATCAGATACAAAGTTGGTCAGTGAGTAGGGAGAAAGGGCTGCAGGGATGCAGGAAGAGGCCTGAGACCAGCCAATCCTGTATTTCAAGGAACATGAGCAAACCTGGGCCTGAGGCCAATGCCCAGGGATAGAGAAGAGGGAAAACACACAGCCAAGTCAATACATCATAGAGGTCAAGTCTGGAAAGATCCCTTGAATCCATGGTGTCCTTTGATAGAAGGGGCCTGCAACATGTTGAACATGATGAGCTTTGTTCTGAATAAGCAGTCTCTGAAATAGCAGCCTTGAAAATCTAAATTAAAAAAAAAAGAAAGAAAACACCACACCTAATACTTAAAAGTTACAGAAAATGTTCAAGTGGCATCCATCTCACCCAGTGTGTGTGTGCGTGTGTGGGGGGGGACCCTTATGGCAGGATACACCAAATACACCAAATGGTTTCTCCAGCAGACATCAGGACCCTAAACAAAATTATAATTTAGTCCCTGGGGAAGTAGTCGCTGAAGATGAAGGGACGTGGCCTTCTCTTCTTCATGAACAACTGAAAATTACCGAAACTAAGACAATGAGTAGAGAAAACAACTGCTAAGAAGAGAAAGAAAATATGTGTGCATGCATGTGTATTAATAGTATTTTGACTGCTGGCCCTAGGTTTCCTTTTGGAAAGTAAACGTCTTCTTTCGCAAAATACCTTGATGAGCTCTGGGAGCGGTATGGAATGAGACCACGGGTGGGGGACAGAGACCGAGAAATCTCTGCATAGTAAGTGCTGGGGAACTCGGCCGAGGGAGCGGGAGCAAGCAGGAAAGAGCTGTGCGCTCTAGGGTCGGAGGCTGCGATGGAGGAGAAGGGTAAGTGTGGAATGTCCGGTGGCTAAAAGGCTTTAGGGAAAGACCTTTAGCCTTTGGAATGTTCTGCCATGACCACAAAGCCATTGTGGGGTTGAATTTTGGAAGCAATGGAATAAAGAGGGCTCTGCTTTCCATGAGTTTGGGAAGAAGAAAGAAGGATTTAAAGTTGAGAGCAAGTAGGAACTCAGCCCCACAAAGGACACAGAGGAAACGGTCTGTGGTGGGGGCAGCTCTAGGTGTTCCTCAGGCTGAGGGATACTGTGCTTGGACAATATTGACTAATTCTCAAAGTCAGGGCCTCCTCAGCCTCGGTTGTTTTGAAATATGCTCATGAAATCAATCAAGAATATAGTATTATGAAAAGTCAATGCTGCATCTCCTCTGCTTTTCCACTCTTGGGGCCTTTTGGGGGAGCAGGAATTAAGGAGGGGTACTTCGCATCACCCCGAAGATCATTCTCCTGTGCTTCTTTTAGCTCTGGGGGGCTAAGAGCTCGGGGTGCACATATATAGATGGCTGTTTAAAAAATACACCAATAGATGCCCTGGCCGATGTGGTTCAGAGGCCGGAGCATCGGCCTGTGGACCAGAGATTCCTGGGTTCGGTTCCCGCTAGGGGCACGTACCAAAAAAACAAACAAACAGAAAAACAAAAACAAAAATATACCAATAGAAAAAATTGTTTGATTTTCTAAAATCTTGCTGTACAACACCAAAATTTTCCCAAGTAATTATGAAGAATTCTATTTTAATGCCCCTGCAATCTTTGGGAACAGTACTTTGTTGAAGTGTATAGATCTGTGTGGGGGTCTGTGATTGACCCTGAATGCACTCTGTCATAATGAGCCCTCTATTTTCACACAATAATTTCTAACTTATCCAAATGATTATACAGAAAGCACATATAGTACATTTAAAAAATAAAATAAATAAAGTAACATGAAATTCATATAAAAGTTGTATGGACACTATATGTATGTGATTATATATGTGTGTATATATACATTATATATATTTAATGAAGATCTCTTATTATTACCTATTTGAATAGACAACAGTAAGATATTTTGGGGCAAGGAAAGAGTAAACTTTATAGTGAGCAAAGAATTTTAAAAAACACTCGGCCTAGAGGAAATTAAATTAGATAATATTTTGGGGAATTAAATTTGTGGGGCTTAATAGCACTTAGAAATATAATCTATTGCATCCAACTAATACTGGGTGCAAGTGTTGTAGCCTGAAGTATAAAGATCTCTGGGAAAGTAAAAAAAAAAATACTGCTTCTCTTTTATTCAGTAAGGACTTAAAAAACATTCACTGCCAAAAATATATTTTAAATACCTCTTGACTTGATTTAATAAAATGTTCTTCACAAAGTTTTTTCAATGACAATTAGGTAAACTAAGAACATTTGTCACTGTAGAGATAAGTAAAACTAACAATTTAAGTATGTGGTTCTAGGGAAATAAGAACTTGTTATATCCACTCATTCCTATTGTTAAATCCAGTTAATTCATTCTCAAGACAAACCCATGAGTTTCCCAGAACTCTCAGACAGAACCCTCAGTGTCCCTTGAGAAGGCTCTCCCACATTTGACAGTGACTATCTTAAAAATGAAAAACATATGGAATCAAGTGATTCCTGGCTTTTGCCCAAGGGGCGCTGCCAGAGGTTCCCTAAGTTGACCTCTCTCTGCCCATGTGAGACACACTTGCTTATTAACCCATGTACCTCTGTCACTCCTGTGTGCGGCGGCTGAATTTTTACAGCCAGGGTTGTTTTGTGGATCACTGTATCCAGGTAAACGGGGAGACTGAGTTAGGAACCACAGGCGCCGTGGAGTGGGTGGACAGAAGAGCCCCGTGCCAGGCACCACTGTACAAACATAAACTCCTAGAATCCTCATTACTTTTCTGGCACGTAAGTTTCTATTATTAGCCCCATTTTTGCCCTTGTAGACACAGAGGCACAGAGAGCCTAATTAATTTGCCCAAGGTTTCAAAACTAGAAAGTAGTAGAACTGGGATTCAAACCAAACCCTGGGAATCTGGTTCCAAAGTCCATGATCTTAACAAGTTTGCTTTACTATTGCTGAGGAAACTAGAGTCAAAAGGAAGGATGCCTGCAATAGACCGCCTGGTGGGTTCTAGGCCCGATTTCAGGAACCAACCATAGAAAACAAACCTCCAGTCTTACCTTTCACTCTGCTCGTTTTCAGGATTCTGTAGACCCAATGGGAGAAATACATTTTTAGGGGTTCTGAAGGCCCCTTGTACCTAGCTTAAGAAGAGATGGACTACCTATCATCCTTGCTTAAAAGTAATTATGTCTCAGTTCCACAGGCTAACAGAAAACTTATTAAAAGGAGATAAGCCCACCCATAGAAAAAAGCATCTTTGCTGAATCTTTCAGCAGCAAAATCTCTATCAAGCACTAATAACTGAATGTTCTTTGAGGACTGCTCTACACATTCAGGAATTAACACTTGAAGTGATGTCAAATGCCATTAAGTAATAGACCCGCAGTTTCAAAAGTGCTTTGGAGGACTGCCGTAGTTCAAAGACCTCCCTCAAGCACCCTTCAGCTAATCCTCACATGTACTTTCATGTTTTACATGGTGAACTTCTGCACAGATTTTTTTTTTTCTTAAAATAATGGTTCTGCTTAAAATTTAATTTTTTACAACCATGCTTACATAGTATTGGAAATTTATCGATTCCCTCATTCATTCATTCTATTAGGTACTGGGTAAACAACGGGAAATATCGAACAGCCTCTTCATTCAAGGAGCTTGCAATTCTAGGGGAACTGGTCCAGTTTGAGGGCTGAACTGAACTGAAAGTGAATTATTGTCAGCTGTACTCTTTTTAAGGCGAAACAATCACAGTCGCCAGGCCTGGAATCTCTGCGCACTACTGATGGTGTAGACTCGTCATGTCAGAGTAATCACAATGGAGAGACCGGACCCTATTCATCTGCGGGAACTGAGGGCCGGGGAAGGAAGATTTGTTCTCACTCGAAACCAGTGCCAATAATGGAAGCAGAACACTTATTTTCTTTCAATGTGTAAAAACTGTTTCATTTCTTACCTCTAGAGCTTTCAGTCTTTCTAACAGCAATTTGGTCTTTTCTTTGCCCTCCTCCACACTGCTGCTTTCGCTCCTGGAGTCCTCATCGACCACCATGTGATCTTCCAAAGCTTCTTTGTGCTTTCTCTCTTCCTCTGACAGCACTTCCTGAAGCAAGAGAGAATTCTGGTTTGCAATAATCTCAGCTGAAAAACAAGCAAGATGAACCTCTTGGAATCTCCCTATTGCTTTTGCGTTCTTTCTGGGGCTGAAGTAGAAATTTTGCTAAACAAATGAATGGTGCTTATATTAGTAAACACAGCAGATATTTTTTAATGAATCCTGGCAGGACAAAGCCATTGGGTCACCACCTCCGAATACACACATCCTCTGCCCAGTTGGAGAAGTGGCCTAGCCAACAAAGACTTGGGTAGAGTCCTGTGGTTAATCCATTTTTATCAGCACCATAGAATTCAGCTGTGATTTAAACTGGGCACAAATAAATCAACCTTTATACCTTATTTCTGAACAGCTTAGTTCCTCAAATAAGGATCATTAAAGTCATTGGACATCAAGCCATTTAATTAATCTAAGGGACACATTCAAGAAATATTGCCATGATAGTGAATTAATTGTAAGTGAATTCTTAGAAGTCAGAATTCTAAGCTGAAGTCAATGCGTTCCTTTGGCCCAGTAATGACACAGCTCTAAGGACCCCTTAGTCCCCTTCCTAGCACTCCAGGGTTTGTGATACTGCCTTGAGGCAGACATAAAATGTGATTATCTTGTCTTACCTCCCTGCTGGAAGGACCCTTTACTCAAACTTGTCTCTGGCAGCTTTTTGGAAGCTGAGAAGTGTTCATTTGAGCCTCATGACTGGCTCTTGTTTTCAAGGGAAAAAAGAAATGTCAAGAGAATATCAGATGAGAAAATTCACCCATTTTTATGTACATCCAGACCCTGCTGTTACAGAACTGGGCAGCATCACTCCTCGGCACAGAGTCTAACCACAACGCTGCAGAAACCTTGTCAGCCACGGCCCAAACAGAATTACCAATGATCAGAGACTTCTGTACAGTTAGCACTGAACTAAGATCATTTGCAAGCATAGAAGCACAAAAGATATGATTCTTAACCTCTAGGCACTTATACAATCCACTTAGAGAAGAATAATAGCATAAGAGGGAAAAAAAGAACAGGTTTTCCAACTGTGCTCACAAAGGTGCTTTGGAGGTTTCAAAAATATATAACTTATTTTTTGAAAATAAATTATGAAGTATTCAAAAATGTCTTCATATATATGTACATATATGTATATGTGTCAATATATACATATACCTGAAGACCACATAGTATCTCGACCCATATTAATCTGTTTTGCATAGATTTCAAGATATAATTTTCCGTCATCTCTCTATAGAAGTGCACGATTATCAGGAAGGTGATAGCTCTTCTTGAATCTGGCCCCTCTAACACACAATGTGCAGGTGTGCTCACGTCCATAGCATGTGTGAGTTCAGCTCAGATAAATGTCAGGCAAGTTCAAGGTACAGATCCTCAGGCCAGGACAAAAGCCCAGGTCATGGTCATATTTTTATAACTTTGATTCTTTAAGGTTTGGTCACTTGTCAGGTGTTCATTTCCATGATAAGGAATATGAAGTCCACAGATTTACAAACTCAGCTTTGAAATGAAGTGATCCTTCTACTTCTCTTTCAAGATTTGGGATCACTATAATAAAACCCTAAACTGGAATTGTGAAGCAAGCTGCTTTAAAAAGGTTATTATCTACATCTCTTTCCCTATATGAATTATGGCTTTTCATTGTTCTTTCAGCCAATTCCATATGTGTATATACATAAACATACATACATTCCCTGTAATAATTAAGCTCTACAGGTAATTAAAGAAGCAAAGAAAATTCACTGTTGTGGTGAGTGAACAGTCAAGACTTGGGAATATGGTAATAGAGATTCCAGATCTCTCCTTTACCAGCTTGGCAAATAATCTTGGACAAACTATTTAATTTCAATGACTCTTGGTTTCTTTGTCTCCTAAATGCATATATGAGGCAAATATCAACATATACCACATACACACACAGTCAATTTTCATTATTCACAGCACTTACACTCTATAAAGTTGTCATGAGCCCAGAATTAGTGAATACTGATTCATGGCTCCTAGGACAAAAACAGGGTTTGGTTCCTGTGGGCTTCTGGTCACAACAATTTCATCACAAATTAATACATAATCTCATTTTATAAGTGCTCCTATTTAAAGACACTTTTTTTTTTATCCTCACCTGAGGACATTTTTTCCATTTTTTGTTCAGATAGAGCAGGAAGGACAGAGAGGAAGAAAGAGAGAGAGAAACATCGACGTGAAAGGGACACATCAAGTGGCTGCCACTCGCACGACCCAACCAGGGCCGGGGACAAACTGCAACCTAGGTACATGCCCTTAGTAGGAACCAAACTCGGGTCTCTCTGGACCTCAGGCCGACGCTCTAACCTCTGAGCCGAACTTGCCAGGGCTATTTAAAGACACTTTGAGATGAACTAAGGAACATATATGCATAATCCATGGACACAGACAATAGTGTGGGGAAGACCTGGGGTGGGGTGGGGCTGGGGAGGAATGGAGATGTATGTAATATTGTCCACAGTAAGTGAATGAATAAATAAATAAATAAATAAATAAATAAATAAATAAATAAATAAAAGTAAAGACAGTTCATGCAGTATATGCTGTTGCTTTATTCACATTGAACTGATGGCTAATGGCACTATAACTCTCCCTGAACAAAGCCTGCTTACACCCCTTTCTCAATAGGCACCTCATAGCCCCCATGCACTGAGAACACGGACAGCACTTCTACACTATTTGTGGGGCCGGTTGAAACAATGAAATCACCAACAAACAGCATTAGATGTGAAAAGCGTGGCACTAAGTAGAGCACAGAAAGGACACACATTTTCAGGTGACAGCGGACACCAGAGGCAGACTGTTGCCTTGTCCGACCATAGCTGAGAACGGGCATATCAGTGACCAAGTTTTCACTCTGTGAATGTCCATGAATGACCATAAACACATGCAAATGTTGACTTTGGGGACTGAAAATAAATTTAGAGGGTAGGCAAATTCACAAATTCAGAATCTACAAATAATGACAATAGACTGAACACACACACACACACACACACACATCTAAAGTGTCTAGACACAGTGTGTAAATATTATTATATGGAACAACTGGAAGTAATTCAAGATTAAATAGATGAAGTATGAGTATTTAGATAACATAAAACACAAGAGTCATTTTTACATCACTTGAAGAAAGGGTGATCGATGTGGGCTGTGAGCTGTGATTTCATTAACATGGACCATGACTCAGGTTTCGACAGAGTAATACAACTTGAATAGTTAGAGAAGCAAAGTAGGGGGATTTTGGTCCAAGAAAAACCTGAAACAAAAGCTCCCAGTCAGGAGTAAGTTGTGTCCTTATTGGTTTAAGAGGAAACCAGTTAGATTATAGTACAGAAAAAAAAAAAAAAAAAAAAAGGTGAGATAATAGTTGAGGAATGAAAAGCAAAAGAGAAAGGATTCTTATATATGAGAAAGAAAATTCAGACATGACTCATTCATTCATTTATTCATCCTAAAAATCTTTGTTGTGCTCCAATTACTGGCCATTCACTGTTCTAGATGCTGGAGATGTGGTCAAGTTCCATGAACATGTATTCGAATGGTGGGAAACATGCTGAACTCCCAATTAAACAAGTAACTTACATAGTTGTAGCGAGTGGTAAATGCTATGAGGAACATCATAATGTGACGGACAGTGGTATGTTTAGGACAATATTCGATTTGGGACTTCAGTGTAAGGCTCTCTAAGGAGGTGGCAAGTTGAGCTGAGACCAACTGATGAGAGGAAAGCAGTCTTGCAATGGTCTGGGAGAAAAGCATCCCAAAGAGAAGGAACAGCAAAGTAAAAACCCAGTGGCAGAGCTACAAACTTACCTTGCTGGCCAGCTGAGAAGAGTCCTTGACAGACTTAACAGTGACTAAAGAGAATGAATAGTAGGACATGTGATCATAAGAGAACTAGACCATGGAGCATCTTGCAAGGCACAGAACGGGGTTTGGATTTTATTCTAAGTGCAATAAAGAGGAATTGGAGGCAAGTCGGGGAGTGATAGGTTCTGATTTAAATTTCAGAAACATTATCCTGACTGCGGCAATGGACTGGGAGCTGTGGCGGGAAGGCCCTGGGAAGCCAGCCGGGAGGCCTTCACATAGCAAGGGATACACATTAGAAACGCTTGGAAAGACTGAGACGAGGATTGACCTTAAGCAGTTTTCACACGGGATTGGTAGGTCAGAAGCCCTGGATCCTACGCCCCGCTTTACACGTTTGCACTTTGCTGGGCAAAGTATTGGACCTTTGTAACCTTCAAGAAAATGAAAGGGCTGGACTCACTGTCCCTTCCAGGGCTAAAGTTGTAAGAATTCAATTACTCAAGACCATTTTCAGGGGAAAAAAATGCTGTCGATAGGCCCAGTGGTAATGGGGACGGCAAGAGAAGAGAAGAGGGACCTCTATATTCTGTAATAAGAGGGCTCGAGAGCTGTTTGACTGAAGTGTGATGATGCTACCCAAATTGTCAGTGCTTAAGCAAAAAGTGAAAAGAGAAAATAGAAGCAATTTTTTAGACACTGGTTTGAAAGTCTGGCAGGGCAGGAAATGGAATACAAAGAGCTGTGGCTGAAGGGCATTACAGAGACAAGTGGAAACCCTTTTCAACTGACAGAGCCCCGAGGTGTTTGAAGAACTAAGAGGGAGCACAGAGATGGCAGCAAAGGTGGGAATGTACGAAGAGGAGGCCTGCACAGCAGAGAGGGCAGGAGAAGGACACTGAGGAAAAAGTCAAGGTCTTCCAAATGTGGTTCCCTGCAAAATATCACTTTGCAGCTTAACTTCCCAGTTTGCATTTCTAAATCATTAGTTAGTGTCTCACTTGGGTTCTTGCAGAACAAGGAGTCGAGTGTATGTAGTTCATTTGAGAAATGCAGGAAATACCAGTAGGGTGCATCTGAGAAGGCAGGAAGCCATTACAGGGCATACTGCTAAGTAACTGAAGCTAAATCGATGGAAACTCCAGAAA